CACGCAACATAGCGACAAGCGGTAAACGGCGTTGGATAGCCCCAACTGGGAACTACCTTGTGACCCAATTTCATTGACCTCGGTCAAACTAATGACGTCACAGGTCAGGTCAAAGGTCAATTTTCACCGTTTACAGGCATTTCAAGAAATGCGTTGTAAAATCGAGTAAAATGCATTTCATTGAAAATCATCGATGGGGAAATGTTCTTCAAACACATATTTTGCTATTTCAGGTCACTGATACCAGGTCAGGTCACAGAGGTCAGGTCACTGGGGGGTCACAATATGAAAGTGTCGTGTGATACATGTTTTATGGTCCATTTTACATGACAAATGCGATAATGTGGGTCAGGCAGACTTTTGGGCCAGCTTAGGTCACGTTTTGGTCAAGGTCAGGTCAAGGTCAGGTCAAGGTCAGTTCAAGGTCAGGTCAAGGTCAGGTCAACATCAGGTCAAGTTTAGGTCAAGGTCAGGTCAAGGTCAGGTCAAATAAGGTCAAATTTCAAAGTTGATATTTTTGCATAAAATGGGTATCGATTCGATGCAGCTCGTCACGGGGAGTTCACTGGTGGTCTCCGTTTTGCGCTACAAGGTCTAGAATTGCTAAAAATTGAGTTCAAAAATTTGACGTCATCAATTTTTAACAGTTTTTTCGCTATAACTTGGCCAAAAAAAGAGGTATCGATCTAAAATTTGGTATGTATATCGAAGAGCGCAGGGACTATCACATATATTCCGGTTTTTTCGAAATTCGAAAAAATGGATTTTTGAAGTTTTTTTTTCTAAAAAAAAAAATATTTTTTTTTATTTTGGGGGGTGAAAATCTCAAAATTTCGAAAATCCGTGATAGCAGTTTTGTAGCGCCGTCTTTTCTCTACACAACCATATAAAGAACTTTAAAATTGCTTGTTAACTGTAGAAATGGTGATTGGTGAGCGTTTCAAGATGTCATGCTTTTGCTCATTTTAACTCGAACATGACCTCAGTTTGACCTCAATAACTCCTGACCTGAGGTGACATGTGACTTGAAATTTTGTGTGAAGGTGTCAAATTGATGCCCGGTAAGGTACCCAAAATTTGGCAAAAACCACAGGGGGGCCAAAATGCCCCCCCCCCCCATCAGGGCGCGGGTTAAAAAGGCCGAACTTAAATCAAAGGATGGGAATCACAGCTGGGAACACTGAGATTAGGCCTTCCAATTTTGGAAGCCTTTCATTTTTGGAAAATGCATACCCATTTATGGAAGGTCCTTCCAAAAATGAAAGGCTTCCAAAAATGGAAGATTTGACCACAGTCACTGGCGGATCCAGGGGGGGGGCCACCGGGGCCATGGCCCCCCCAAAAGCCTGAAAGGGGGGGCCAACATATCTTTTGGCCCCCCCCCAAAACGCTTGGAGAAAAATTAATGTGAGAAGGTTGCGTAGTAGATACCTACTAGAATCAGCAGCGTGATTCAATAGCGTAGAGAAAGTCAGGGGCGCGGGAACTACTTTCAGACTGGGGGAGCACACCATAATAGAGATCAACCTAGGGTCCCCCCAAATCTAGTTTTCTCACCGGTTTTAGGCCACTTATTTTTCATCCCTTGGCTTTTTCAACAAAAAAAAAGAAACAGTTGCAAAAAAGGACGGTATTCCGTTTGAAAGTTGTGGGGGCACCGCCCCCACTGGCGGATTCAAGGGGGCCACCGGGGCCATGGGCCCAAAAAGCCTGAAAGAGGGGGCCAACATATCTTTTGGCCCCCCAAAACGCTCGAAGAAAAATTAATGTGAGAAGGTTGTGTAGTTACTAGAATCAGCAGCGTGATTCAATAGCGTAGAGAAACCCAGGGGCGCGGGAACTACTTTTAGACGGGGGGGGGGAGGTCACACCATGATAGAGATCAACCTAGGATCCCCCAAATATAGTTTTCTCGCCGGTTTTAGGCCACTTATTTTTCATCCCTTGGCTTTTTCAACAAAAAAAGAAAACATTTGCAAAAAGGAGCGGTATTCTGTCTGAAAGTTGTGGGGGCACCGCCCGCACGGCCCCAGAGTTGGGGGGGGGGGTCAAGCTGCCACCACTGCCCCCTCCCCCCGGTTCCCGCGCCTATGGAGAAACTACCGGGTTTACTAGCTTCCTTCATAAAGTGTCGTCATGTCTTATCGTCACCCGAGAAGGTCTTATTGCATAAATATCGATTGAGCTGTCAAGTTAACAAACTTGCTGTGGCAGCCTGACCTGACATGACCCGGCAACTTTTCATTCACGGAATATGCGCAATAAATTTTTTAGGAAAACTCACTGAGTTTTCGTTGAAAAAAACTTGCTTTGTTTCGTAATTGTACAAGAAGCATATGAGGGACCTTTTTGTCCCTTCCTGCGAAACGGTAAAAGACTTATTTCGGTCACAGCTCAGGCCAATCTCTAAGGGTCAGTCGGGTCACTTATTTCTTAAAAGGGTCCTTACGGCATCCAAGGACCAATTCCGGCTTTTGAGTGCGCCACATCAGCATTTGATGCTACGACAGATGTCGAAATCTGAATATATGTTACAGGCCGTATGAAAATTCGGTCCGTTTGCAAACGGCCTGGCCCAGTCAGGCCATATGAAACTACCTGAAAGCACCGGCCGTTTGCAAACTATGACCTCAAATATCAGACCGTTTGAACACGACCTAGTTAGTTTCGGCCTAGCGGATCCAGGGGGGCCACGGGGTCATGCCCCCAAGCCTGAAAGGGGAACAACATATATTTTTTGTCCCCAAAAACACTTAAGAAAAATGAATGTGAGAAGGGCGTAGTAGGTAGAGAGAAAATACCGTATCATTAAAAATCTGTGAGCTTGATAAAAGTGTTGGTCTTGTCTTCACCCAAGAAGTTCTTATTGCACACTTTAACCATGGATGAAAGAACCTTCATCCCCTGGTTCTCCTTCATCCATGCTTTAACTCTCGATCGACGTGTGAAGTTATCGTGTAAGGTATCATGAAGCCGATCGCGACGAAACTTTAGTACCCTCATGGTGACAAAGTCTGAAAATTTCATGACCCTGACCCAAGTGAACTTTGACTTGTGGCCTATTTCTCGAGACTGTTTGGCCATGTTGGAGGCCATGTTTGGCCGGAATAGCGATTCGGCGTATATCGGCTCACATTATCCGCGCTTTTATAGTCTTTTCGTGGTTTAAAACGCTCAAACATGTGATATGATGTTGCTCCCACGCATTAGGGCGGATGCCAATGTCACCTTACGGTCAAGTCAGGTCATTGACCTTTGATGACCTCGGTGCACTTTTCCGAGTTTAACATGTTTCTAGGATAGTTTCGTTTAGCTGATTTTGAATTTAGCATTCTGCAGCCATTTGAACATTTACGAAGTAGTTTTGATGCCATCGTATCATGTTACGTAGCTGCCAGTGGTAGTGGACACCTGCTATACGGACGCCCATAAGTACTCCTACTGGTTGATCTGACCTGACCTGCCCCGACATGGTCTAAACGCATGAAGACATTATCTATGATCCAAACTAACATGAAATTTGTGATCAGCACAAAAAAAACGTATTACAGCCTTACTTTAGGAGGTTCTGACAGGTCCTGATTTTCCCGTCTTTTGGGTCTGTGACCTGACCTGGGCGGTGTTTCACGGCGCGCTGCCAGCCGCTGCCAGCGCTGATGGCACTTTTGGTTTCAATGGAGACATCAACAAGCCTATACCCACAACACTACCGAAGGCTGACCTTAGCTCGCGGAATGCGCTGTCAGCGGCTGTCAGCACGACCGTGAAACACCGCCCTGGAAGGTCAACCAATGACCAAGGACCTTAAAATCGGGTATCATCGGCTTCGTCTCGTCACTCACGGGCAACACGCCTGTTTTTTTCCGCGAGCTCTAGCTTAATCAGGGGCCGAACGGCAGGGGGTCCAACCGACACCTCCCAGCCCGCGAAGGCTGCGCCACGCACCGACCCGGAGCGGGCTATAATTGGTCGACAAAAGCAATTTGAAGTGTTTTCAAAGTAATATTTAGGCTCGGGTTGGGTGGGCTACCATTTCTATTTTTTTATTTTTAGTTTAAAAAAAATATCGTTTCAGGGCTGTGACGAAAAAATAAGTGGCCTAAATCCGATGAGAAAACAGGATTTGGGGGTACCCTAGGTTTGGTTGCTTGCAGGAGTTGGCCCCCCCCAAAACGCAAGTCTGGATCCGCCAGTGCACAGTTTCCCCCACTGATATTGGAGGCCTGTCTACTCTTGGACTTGCCTCTCATAGGGTCTGTTCCAGTCGCACTTCTTCACACCTCTAAACTCCTCCAAGAGCATGATAGAGGAGGTTGGAGCAGGGCCCTCCTTGGCTTTGTAGGGGCTAGAGCTGCCACTGTAACAGGAAAGCAATCTTGGAGGAGTTTAGAGGTGTTAAGAAGTGCGACTGGAACAGACCCATGGCCAACAGGACAGGGTTGACCGCAGGGCGCGGGACGACGGTGAAAACAGGGCGCCCGGGGTGATTTGATCAAGGCTCTTGAAATTCACTCGCACAAACCACGTGACAACCACCGTGTTGAAGGCGTTGAGAGGGGGGAACTCCGTAATAGCCACGTGACCAAATATGCCCTCCGGTGCCCTGTTTGCACCGGCGTCCAGGGCGCGGGCCGCACAGGGAGAGAGAGAGTGCGTGACGTCATCACTGGAGAAGCTCGTGCCGCGCACATGGCGCACTACTCTGCAGGACTGGCCGAGCCTCTGACCTCAGAGCTGGCAGCTCGGGCTAGTAGCGGTCGGGCCGTTAGGCGTACCCACGACTGAGGTTGGAATGAGGTGATCGCTGACCACCCCAAGACAACTTTCGGGACCACCCCCATCCCCGACCCTGTGACCTGGCCTGGAACGGGTCGGTTGGTAGTGAACCGCAGCAGCTGGGGTGGGTCAGCTCCTGTAGAAGCGAACACTAAACAGTGGACGGGCCGGCTGCACATCCGCGGCAGGTCAGCTCGGGTGCCGCGTGCCGCCACTACACTCACCCATGGGCTGGTGGTGTGCGACGGGTAGCTTGGCGCCGCCGGGCAGCGTGGGCTGCGGCTGGCCGGGCGCCGGCGCCGGCGGCAGCCGCTGGCCCTGGCCGCCGGGCGGCGGCGGCGCCATGTGCTGCTGCGGCGGCGGCACGCCCGGCGGCATTCGCTGCCCGGCCTGCATCTGAGCCTGCATCTGAGCCTGCATCTGCGCCTGCATCTGCGCTTGCTGCTGCGGGCTCAGCTGCTGCTGCGCCTGCATCTGGGCGTGCTGCTGGGCCTGCATCTGAGCATGCTGCTGGGCCTGCATCTGAGCATGCTGCTGCTGCTGCTGATGCAGGAGTTGGGCGTGCTGCTCCGGCGTGAGCTGCTGCTGACCCTGCAGCTGCTGTGGTGGAGGAGCGGGAGGGGGCTGCTGCTGTTGCACTGCGGGCTGCTGTTGCACCGGGGGTTGTTGCTGCACCGGAGGCTGCTGTTGCACTGGGGGCTGCTGTTGCATTGGGGGCTGCTGTTGCACTGGGGGTTGTTGTTGCACTGGGGGCTGTTGTTGCACTGGGGGCTGTTGTTGCACTGGGGGCTGTTGTTGCACTGGGGGTTGCTGTTGCACTGGGGGCTGTTGTTGCTGCGCCGGGGGCTGCTGCTGCTGCCCCTGTCCACTAACGAGAGCCACCACACACCAGACGGCAGCGACTCGCAGCATGGCAGCTGTCGGCGCTCCGCGGCCGGCCGCCATTCCGCGCGCACTGCCCGCCGCGCCCGCCGCCGGTCCGGAACGGCCCGGTCCGCAGGTGAAAGGCGGCGGCGGCGGCGGCGGCGCAGTCTGGCCTCCCGGCGCGGCCGCTCTCAGCTGACGTGGCCCGCAGTCAGCTGCTGCGCGTCTCGCCCCTCCTCCCGCCGCGCCGGCCGCGCCGAGCTCGGCTCCGCCGGTGGCGGCCGGACCGCTGTCTGTACTTCTCACCCCGCCCCCGCCCCCTGCCGCGAGCAAATCCCGCTGGTGGCGGCATTGCCGGCCGAGGCTTTACCTTCGGAGGCGCGGTGGGGTACATATCTAGTGGCCCGGTGGTCCAGTGGCGGGGCATTCCACGTCAAATCAAACACCGAAATCCGTCATCCCCTTCGATTTTTCTGAAAATTTGTAGGCAGACTGGGCATGGTTCAAAACTGAGTTACGTATAATATTTTCGAAATTTGATAACGTATCGCCGAGATATAGGTCATCGAATATGGCCAAAAATGCCAGACATCATTTTTTTAAATGCTTATAACTCTGATTCCTTTTCTGGTATCAAAATGATATTAACAGGGTCTTGTAGGCAATTGAGAAGGCTTTGATTTTTAATTATAAAATTAAATTGAAGTGACCTTGAAATGCATTTGACCTTGAATTAACCCTCGCATGTGTAGGGGGGGGGTCGGATGGACCCCCCCCCATGGTTTTTCGCGAATAACTCGCGTAAAAAGCGGCCGATCGCGACGAAACTTTCAGTACCCTCGCATTGATCAATTTTACACCTACCCTGAAAATTTCATGACCCTGACCCCAATGACCTTTGACCTGTGACCTCTTTTCCGAGACCATGTTTGGCCGGAATCGCGATTTCGCGTATGTCGGCTCGCACTAGCCGCGTGTTTGCAAGCTTTTCGTGGTTTCAAACGTTCAAACATGTGATTTGATGTTACTCCCGTGTGTGTCAAGGTCACCTGAAGGTCAGGTCAGGTCATTGACCTTTGGTGACCTCGGGTGACCTCGGGTCACTTTTTCGAGTTTTACATGTTTCTAGGCTAGTTTTTGGAGCTGAATTCGAATTTAGCAACCATTTGAACATTTACGAAGTAGTTTTGGTGACTTCGTAACATGTTACGAAGCTGTCAGAGGCGGTTGACACGTACTACGAATACCCGTCACGACGCCTACTGGTTGACCTGACCTGACCTGACCCGACCTGGTCTAAATGCTTCAAGACATCATCTGTGATCAAAACTAACACGATATTCGTGATCAGCACCCCGAAAAACCCCTTAGCAGCCACACTTTACGACTTTCTAACAGGTCCCGATTTTCCCGACTTTGGGTCATTGACCTGACCTGGAAGGTCAACCAATGACCTAGGACCTTAAAATTGGGTATCATCGGCTTCCTCTCGTCACGGGCAACACGCTCGTTTTTTCCGCGAAGCTCTAGCTCGATCAGGGGCCAAACGGCAAGGGGGGGGTCCAACCGACCCCCCCCCTACACATTAGAAGCTGGCAAACGCCGCACACATGCGAGGGTTAAAACAGAAAAATTTAAATAGCAAAAAACACGCCACCTTCGATTTGAGTAATTTTTACATATTATGTCCGTCACAATGTTCCTAACCATCTGTGAAAAAATTGGAGTGGGCCATTCATAACTTTCGCGGCAAACGCCGTTTTCATGCATCAACATCACGCAACCGCGCGTGACCTTGAAAGACAGAGTCAAGACATGCTTGCTTGTGTACACTTTCTGAAATGAATGATTGCTGATGAGTGATATCCCAAACTCTGCGAGAATGGAAATGCATAGTCATCGTAGTCAAGCATTCACGTTCCATTGTAAAAGTGTCTCAGGCAAACGGTATTTTGCGGTGAATTTTGAGCCGTGTGGAAATGCATCATGACATAAATTCAACGAAAACATTATCACGCAACGATATCTTCACGTCTTTTGATCTTCACTATACGAAAGAACATACATTTTTGAGTATGTATGGGGAATTTCTAGTTAATCCGATGATAAATATGGCAGTTAGAGTCCTGCTAAGAGTAACATGTCGCCGGCTGAGGCGGGATCGGCCGACGCGGGAAACGCAGCAGTCACAATTTTGTTTTTACACGTTCATATTTCAATTGTTTACCAACCTATTTTCAGAATTCTTTCACCATAAGATTGCCTGTATATTTCTTAGTCTTCTCACAAAATTTGACGCGAATCGAACGTAATCAGCGGTAAGGAGCGCGATGTAAAGACGGAACCGTTCCGTTCCGTCCCGGCACAGTCTACAATTCAGGCGGCGCGTAGCGGTCGGCGCCGGCTGCCGAGTCGCCGCGTCGCCGCGGCGACAGGATGTTCACTTTACACCGCTATTACTAGAACAGTTGTGAACCGATTTTCTTATTGCTTGCACGATGATATGTGCAATTCAATTCTGGACAGGTAGCCATAAATAATTTCGCATCAATATTATGAGATATTGGCGAAAAACAGGAGGGGTGGGGCGAAATTCACTCTTCCCCCTCCACTGCGCGTGCTAACATACGTTTGCATACGTGCCATTTTCTTCAAAACTTATGAATGGCCCACTCTAATTTTTTCACAGGTTGTTAAGAATATGGTAGGCAATAAAATATATGAAAATGAGCCAAATCGAAGGTGGCGTGTTTTTTGCTATTTCAATTTTTGTGCTTAAGAACAGAGTTAAGCAAATTTCAAGGTCATATATTTAAGTCGATGCAATTCTAAACAAATGCTTAGAAATTACCTAAACAGTAAGGTTTATTTCATTCAAATCAAACAAGTACAACCAAAGTTATGGTCGTTCAAAAATATAAAGATGCAACATTTTGTAAAAATTTGATGCCCTATATTTAGAAGACCTGTGGTCAGAATGTGCAAAAAACATCAATGTAATGTCCGGGGCGACACAGGAACTCGCTCACAAATTTATAATGAAATCGCTGATGGTAAGGTGCAAAACAGCCGATTTTTGTTCGATTTGACGTGGAATGCCCCTGGCCTAAAATATGACGGTGACCCCTGCTGGCTTTGTAAATAGGGGAGAGTGGGGTAAGATGCCCAGGGTGGGAAAGACGCCCCCCCCCCCCCTGGCGGCGAAACAAAGAATCGAACCTGGAAATTAATGTTCTTAGCGTAAAGCGGAAGCCTGCCTTGTTAACTGCACAAAAATTTGCGAAGCTCAATTGGGCAACGGCTGGCTGGTGATTGCATGTTTTTTATTTGCTTCTTTCAAAAAGTATTTTGGTGTCAAAACATTGTAAATATCATAGGCGTAGGAACAGGGGGGGCCAGGTGGGCAAGTGCCCACCCACTTTTCGAGGTGGGGGGGCCAACCATGTGTTTTGGCCCACCCACTTTTTACTCGAGGCCCCTCGTCTCGATTTGAGAGGACGTCGTCACCTTCCAGAATAAACAAACTCGGTAAAAATAAGTTCCACGAATCCCCACGCACGGACTGCAAGGGGCCGTGATGGATCCAAGGAGGCCCTCTGTTCATACTTGTCAGTCGAAGCCCCTGAGACTGATGGCCTGAGAGGCCCTAGTGGATCTGAGGAGGCCCCAATATCCATACTGGTCTGGGGAGGCCCCTGACACTGGCGGTCTGGGAGGCCCCTCTATCCACACTAGTCAGAGGTCTGAGACTGGTGGTCTGGGAGGCCCCTCCATCCACACTAGTCAGAATAGACCCCTGACACTGGCGGTCTAGCCGAGGCCCCTACCCTCACTAGTCAGAGGAGGCCCCTCTATCCTCAATAGTCAGAAGAGGCCCCTGAGACTGATGGTCTGGGAGGCCTATCCATCTACACTGTAGTCACAGGAGGCCCATGAGACTGATGACCTGAGGGGCCCTTATAATCAAACCAGGCAGAAGAGGCCCATGAGACTGATGGACTGAGAGGCCCTTCTATTCATACTGGCCACAGGAGACCCCCAAAACTTTCGGTCTGGGAGGTCGCTCAATCCGGCACCAGTCAGAAGAGTCCCCTGAGACTGATGGCCTGGGAAGCCCTTATATTCACACTAGGCAGAGGAGGCCCCTGAGACTGATGGTATGAGAGGCCCTCATTCACACCAGTCAGAAGAGGCCCCCGAGGCTGATGGCTGTGAGGCTCTTCTGTTCATATAACTGGCCACTGGAGGCCCCTGAAACCGGTGGTCTGGGAGGGCCCTCTATCCACACTAGTCAGAAGAGGCCCCTGAGACCGATGGTCTGAGAGGCTCTTATATTCATACTGGCCACAAGAGGCCCCTGAGACTGATAGTCAGAGAGGTCCACTCCTAATGAATTTGAGGGGGCCCTCTATCCACATTTACACTTTTCTAGGGAGGCCCCCGAGACTGATGATCTGAGAGGCCCTTTTATTTATACTATCCACAGGAGCCCCCTAAGATTAATGGTCTGAGACGCTCTTCTATTTATACTAACCAGAGGAGGCCCCTAGGATTGATGGTCTAACAGGCCCTTCTATTTGTACTAGCCAGAGGAGGCCCATGAGACTGATGGTCTGAGAGGCTCTTCTATTCAAACTAGGCAAATGAGGCCCCTGAGAATGATAGTCCGAAGAGCCATGCGGCGGCAACTGGCCGTGGCCATATTTCGGCTCGGTAGGGCCCCCACAGAGCTCATGAGAGCACCTCAAGGGCTCCTAAGTAGACACGCTTGTCCCCATAAGGGTGCCACGCCGGCTTCTGAAGGCTCCTTGTAAGCATCTAAGGGCCCTTTCCGGCCTCTAACGGCTCCACCCGCCTGTGATGGCTCCACACCAGTGTTTATGAGCGCCACACAGCGGCGCCTTTGAGGGTCACACTAGTGTCTCTTAGGGCCCTATATCGGTGGCTCTGGGGGCCCCACACCGGCGCCTCTGGGCCACCACACCTGTGCATCTCAAGGCTGTATAGGTACATCTGAAGGACTCACACCGACACCTCTGAGGGCCCCACACCAGTATCTCGGAGCTCTGAAGGCCCCACACCGGTGACTCTGAGGACTCACCGGCTCCTGAGAGCACCATGTTGATGTCTAACGGCTCCACAAGGCCACTGAAGGCACCACACAAGCTCTCACTGAGCTCATAGTGTCCATGTACCGGCCTCTGAGGGATTTAAGCCAGCGGATTCATAGCTCCACACCAGCAATTGTAAGGGCTTCA